CCCTTTGTACGAACAAAAGTAAGAGAAATTTAGGATAAGAATACGAACATGTTCTTGCATGAGGCCCATTGTGTCACTTTTCACTTCGCACAGTCAAGATATTAACAAGTAATGAGAAATACCTTGGTAAAAGTTTCCTCATAACCTTGTGTATGAGAGATGTGGGAGAAGCTTAATTCACCTTAAGCTCACTCTTTCAAGCATCACAGAACCAGACTTTTCTTTTTTTTTTTTTACAAAAAAAAAAATCAATTTCCTAGAGTTACAGGCTCAGATACTGTGGCCCCAACAGACATCTGAAGAGAAAACTGCCCTCTCCACCAGAGATTACAGACTACTTTTCAGCTTCTGAGGCACAAAATAAGCAGCAGAAACTCTCAGGCCTGTGTTTTACTTCACTTCTTCAGATCATCTTGAAACAAGACACCCGGTGTCTTCTAATGCAGGAGCAACAAGCTCCGTATATTCTCATAAACTCAGTTTGTTTCCTGCAGTTCAGCCAGAACACACAGGTATCACCTCCTCCTCCAGAACTGTCTTTCTGCTCCTTTGTGGACCAATAACAGGTTTTCTCTTTCCAGGTTTTGACAAAAGTTGTTTTTTTTCCTACCACTGCCCCAGACGTTTGTTGCCATTTTATTCATTCGTGTACTAAAACGTTCAACTCGATAAAGATTTTTGGCTTGTGTAGCTTTTATACTTTGCAAAAGTGTTTAACTTTATATTAGTTTGTAAAAATCATCCTGTTAAGCGTAAAAACGCTCCAACAAAAAGTATTAATAAGACAAACATTAAACTCGTGGCCTCGTTTGAAACAAAATTCTCAATAAAAATACAACAAAATTCTCTTAAATTACTTCAAAACTCTGTGAAATCCATTTCAGCAAACTTGCTTTGTTTATATTTTGTTATTTTTACTGTTTAGCTATACTCAGCTTAGCTTTTAGCTGCAGATTTGCTACCGTTTAGCTAAGTTTGTTCTTATTATTTCTTATTTATATTGTGTGAATAATGTAAAGGATCTTTGAGTGTCCTGAAAAAGTGCTTTATACTGATGCATCATTATTATTATTGTGCATTTTATTAATTGATTTTGTTAAATTTAGCTTCAAGCTACAGTTTATAGCTTGTTTTAGTTGTTTCTTTGGTTTATAGTTTTTAGCTGCAGTTCTGCTCATTTTATTCATTAGCCTACGTCTTTGCTTTCGTCTACAGCTTTGCGAGTTTTGGCTTTATCTATTTTGCTAATTTTAGCTTTTAGCTACTTCTTCGCTAAGTTTGTTTCTATTTGTGGTTTTGCAAAATAAGCTCCTATACTTATATATATACTATAGTTCTTTTCTTCTGGTTGAATAATTTAATCATACAGTTGCCTTTTTTAAACTATTTTTAGTTTTAGTTTTTCACTGCTCTGCTCATTTTAGCTCGTGTTTTGTTGCTTTACCTTCTGCTTATTTCAGTAAACACTCAGCACTCAGCGTTCACACTGTGTTATTGCAGAAAATGCTGATATTTGTGATTCTGTGTGCAGCTGGTGCACTCTGCAGCTTCAGTCATCAGAGTGTTTTTGTGGAAGTCTGATGTGAGCGGAGGGACGAGAAACAGAGGAAAGTTTCCTGCAGGTGCTTCTCTGCTGCCGGCTCTTCACTTCACTTCACAGGACTTCAGTCTCCTGATCTTTGCTCTGTTTGTCTGTCAGTCAGTCAATAATTCAGACAGTTGTGGAGGCCTCCTCCTGTATTTTTATTATTATTTGTGGTTTCACACAGAGCAGTGCAGGCTGGGCTGTTTGAAATGCGCTGGAGAAACCGCTGAAACACGATCCTCACAGCGCTGCTTCAGCCGGGAGGGATCAGGATCACTGAAGCAAAAACATGTTAAAGACGAAACAAATGTGACCTCACACACACACACACACACACACACACACACACACACACACAC